ACCATAGGGGGTCCGCGTATGCCCCCGGGAAATTTTTGTTTTCTAGACACCCGGAAATAACTTCTGAGACGTTTTGGGCGATCAATAATGTCTTTTTATTTCTTTCTTTTTTGATTTTCCAAAAGGGGTCCCTTGACAGTATAGCTGATTATACGTATAATGAGAAAACACTAAGAACAGCAAACATACGCCAGTGAATTACAAAAAAATAAATAAATAATAATTTTAGTTAATTTTAACTCATAATTGCAAACACATTATCGTCATGCACCCAAGGAGGTTAAAAAATATTATTATATCTCCCGATGCATGCGCCTAACACAGGTATATTGTCTCTTTGAATTAGTTTTCATTCCCAAGAAAAGGGATAAGTTTTTATTAATTTTTGTATCATTTCATTTCATTTCGGAAATAATATATTAAATAATTCCCGTTCTTAGAAACGATTTATTCGAATTTTTGTTAAAATTATTTTTATTTTTGTTATTCATTCTGGCAAAACAAATAATAATATAAAACATAACAAATACTACAAATCAGAAATTCACAAATATATGAGAATAATTAGGTGAGCCAGGGAGCAGCAAAAGCGTACTGCTCCCAATTTTTGTTAAAGTATATATGATTTACGGTAGTGTTTATTTTTAAAAAGGGGGATTTCCCTTCAGATGGAAATGTATGGTTTTATTATTTAGTATAGAAGTAAATATTGTTTTTATTCACACAGTAAAATACTATTTATTATTTTTTCGCTATCACATATGCTAGACTTCTTTAAAGTATTGCACTACTACTACTGGTTTAAAATGTTTGAATAAAGACATTTAATATGAAAAAAAAAAAAGAAACTTAATTGACAAACAAAACTTCAGCTATTCTTAGTCTTTACGGATCCAGTCACTAAGAAGTAACTGTAAGTTTGAGGGCAGCAAAATACACAATGAGACAAATTCGGTAGGCCGAGGAAGAATGGTAAGTTTCATTTATTTTGTGTCAACTGTCAATATATGTAACGTAACCTTCAACTAAAGAATCTTAATTTAAAGTGTGCCATTCTTTTGTTGTTCTTGTGGTACAGTTCCTTCGCCCCAGCATAGACCTCAAGACAGTACTACTAGGCCTACCTAAGGACATGCTTTTCATCTCCCTAACTAAGCCTGTGTGTGGCGAAAACGTCATTCATTCCAAACAGGAAGTGATCACTAGGCCTAGGCCCAGAAGGTGAACTAGGTAATAATTTATTACTGCCATGCATGGTTGCCAAGTCTCACGTAGTGACGTAGTCACATTATTTTAATTAATCAGTAAGTGGTTTACTAGCTAGGTTTACAAATAAAAATTAAAATCTTAGAGATTCTTGCTGTAATTATATTAAAGTTTGCTCCAGATGTACTAAGCCTAGGCCCTAGACCTAGGCCTCATGTAATGTAAAGTGTTTAATCATGCAGATAAGGCCCTATAAAAAATATTATTAATTTATCATTAGTTTTATTTTATTTTTTATTTTGCTAAAGCCACATATCACCCTTGGGTTGTTTGCTGGTGCAGTGATATTTAATGTAAAACATGATTTAGATAAGGCAAACAAAATCTACTAACTAATTAATAAAATAAATGAAAAAAATAAATGAAAAAAATTTAAAAAATTTCACAAAAATTTAAAAAAAAAAAAAATTTTTTTTCAACAAAAATTTTTTTTCCCCCAGTACCATAAAAGACATGCGCGCGAGGATGATAAACTAATAATATTTTTTATTGGGCCTAATACATCAAAACCTTGTTCAAATTTGCATAGAACATTGCCAGGAAGATAGGTGCAAGAATCATAACACTTGCGAGTAGAGAACAGACGTCAACCGTGTTATGATTGGTCAAACGAACATGTGACAGTGACAGGTCGAAGGGCAACACATGTGCTGCTTGTTTGATATGGAAACCAACCACAGAAACTCAGTTCGAACAATAGAGCTATTATATCTCTATGGTTCGAACGCAACAAGATTAAAAAGGCATAACATGTTTATGAACTTATAACTTATACTTCATCCTCTCTCGGCTCGAATCAATTGGCGTTTCCCATCCGTCTTAGCGGTATAATAGTTAATTATCGTGTCAACAGTAGTTCTAGACTTATCGCGTATTTAATTAATAACAATATAAATTACAACTTTATCGTTATTTTTTTTGAACAATTAAGAAGAATAAGACAGCATCAGGGCTGCTAAGAGGGGAAACTGTAACAGTAAACTGCGTGGAAGGTACAAAAAAATTTTTTAGAGGCCCTGTCAATTTGGAGGGGTTCATAGGGGACATTTTTGAGGGCACATGATAGTAATTATTATTTTTGAAAGAAATATTGAAAAAAAAATGCTACCTTCAATTTCTATGGGCCCCCTGGTACGCTTGGGCCACGGGGACCTTTCCCCCTGCCCGCTCTCGGTGGCCTTTGACCTTTCCACCTGCCCAACTCTCGGTGGCCCTGGACAGCAGAGGAAAAACAATCTTTCCATGACGTAGTGACGGGTTGGTGAGTGCGTGTAGTCCAACAGCAATATATATTTCACAAACCTGTATAGAGGCCGGGTATCACTGTTAAATAAATCACAGGAGTCCTAAACGTGTTATGATAGGGTTGCAGAGAAAATCTTCCGACTTTGTGATTAAAAAAATATTTGCAGGCAACAATAACATCAATAATATAATAATGATGATGATGATGATGATGATAATATTAATAATAATAATAATATTAATTGAGAATATATAGCGCAAATTATAAACAATGTTAAAATCAAATGTGCTTTAGACTGGAAGTTACGATGTTTCCTTCAAAAAAAATAATATTTTAATTAATTTTATAAATTCATTTTTAAAAGATTGCTTTTGTTGATATAGTACGATAGGCCTAGATTATTTATCATTGTAAATTTTTTTATTTATGATGATGATGATGATGATGATGATGATGATAATATTAATTGAGAATATATAGCGCGAATTATAAACAATGTTAAAATCAAATGCACTTTAGACTGGAAGTTACGATGTTTACTTCGAAAATAATAATATTTTAATTAATTTTATAAATTAATTTTTAAAAGATTGCTTTTGTTGATATAGTACGATAGGCCTAGATTATTTATCATTTTAAATTTTTTTATTTATCATTTTTAAATCACCAAGTTGAAGATGTTTCTCTATCTGCAACCCCATCATAAAACGTTTAGGCCTAGGTACTCTACCAACCACGTCATGGAAAGACTATTTTTCCTCTCCTGTGTATTTTTTTTACTTGTTAAAAAATATACGAATAAAGAGTAGTAATCCATTTATTTATTGTTAAATCGTGA